AAAATTCTTCCTAATATCTAACCTAAACTCCCCTTGCTGCAACTTGAGACCATTGCTCCTTGTTCTGTCATCTGCCACCACTGAGATCAGACCAGCTCTATCCTCTTCTGAACCCCTTTCATGTAGTTGAAGGCTGCTATTAAATCCCCTCTCAGTCTTCTCTTCTCTAGACTAAACAAGACCAGTTCCCTCGGCCTTTGCTCATAAGTCATGTCCCTCAGCCCCCTCACCATTTTTGTTCACTTCCACTGGACTCTCTTCAATTTGTCCATATCCTTTCTGCACTGGGGGCCCAAAACTGAACACAGTACTCTAGATGTGGCCTCACCAGTGAGGAATAGAGGGGAATAATCACTTCCTTTAACTTACTGGCAACACACCTACCAATGCAGCCCAGGATGTCTTGGCAACAAGGGCACACTGCTGGCTCATATTCAGTTTATTGCCCACTGTCCCCCCCAGGGCCTTTTCTGCAGAGCTGCTGCCCAGCCAGTCAGCCCCAGCCTCTACCAGAGCATGGGATTGTTCCATGCTAAATGCAGGACTTTGTTGAACCTCATGAGACTCCTTTTGGCCCAATCCTCCAATTTGTCTAGGTCACTCTGAATCCTAGCCCTACCCTCCAGTGCATCTACTACTCCCCCACAGCTTGCTGTCATCTGCAAATTTGCTGAGGGTGCACTTTATGCCATATAGAGAAGAAGCAGAGCGTCCTAGTGTCCCAGTATGTTGGCAGAGCTGGATCAAGGCTCATGACAGGAACAGCAGCAGGTGCTCCAGGACAGGCTGGGAGGGCCCTGGCAGGACTGAGGATGCAGGGTGGGTAGGATGGGCCAACAAGAGGCATGGGCCAGAGGGTATCTGTCTAGGGGGCTGTCACCAGGGTATCCGAGCACCACACTGTGCCCTCTGCTTCTATGAGAACTAAGCTCTTTTCCAACAAATACACAGTGGACACATCTACACATATGCTTTAATGTGCAGTAGCCTATTCAAAAAATCATGTTAATATGATAATGCACAGTAGACTAGGCCATTAAGCTTCACCTAAAAAGTATGCACTTGTGCTACTGTGCATTAGTGCAGCCTAATGCACATTTATTTAGTACTGTAGTTAATGTGCATTAGTAAAAGCACATTAATGCATGTGTAGATGCTCCCAGTAAAGGAGACGGTGCTCATGTTTATGTTATAGCTTTGCCTTAAAACCCTGGTTAAATGCTATTTAGGGGATAGAATGATCTCTGTGGTGTAGTCTTTCCTCAAATGCTAAACCTCCCTGCAAGACAGTCTGGCAGCATTTGTAGCTGTTTTCTAAGAGAAACGATCTATATCAAACAGTAATAGCACCACCCACCAGGGAGAGATGCTGCTTGAGAAGTTACAGCCTGCACCACACACACAACATAGCAACATCAGGCAGCAGTGCGAGGCCACGCAGCCCATGTGGGCCCATCCACCTGCCTGCTGAATGTCTGTTTGCTGGAGTATTTATTCCTTCCCAGTGCCTGTCTGATGCCTTTAAAATTCTGTTCCTGGGAGCTGCCACCTCTGCTGCCTGGAAGAGGCTCCTTCATGTCTGCAAACCTGCCTATTGTTCCCTGGCCAGCACTGTCCGTGCACCCTTCTGCCCTGTATCCACTTCTCCTGAAATACTCCCACAGGCCTCTCACTGACTAATGAAACCGCTAGTCCCTGTTTTCCAGCTGCCAACATGAGCAGATGCTGCTGCCTGACTTCTCACACAGACACACACAGTGCAATCACATTGCTCCGTGCCCATGTCCAACCCCGATCCCTCATCCCTATGGGATCCAGTTTACATTGTTCCTCATGAACCTGAGTGCAGTGACTCCAGGTTTACTTTGGCATGGCTAAGCATAGTCCAGTACTTTGTTTTAAAGCCTACTGTGGACCAGTTCCAGATGATCCAAAGTCTTTTGGCCTTGATCCTCATGTGTACCTCACTACGATTTAGGCACCTATATCTAGCAGAGGTCATTGCTCACTCTGGACTGGGAATATCAACCAAGGGAACAAGCAGCCCTTTTTGCCCTCTGCCTGACATGTGTTACACTTGGGGAGGCAGCACTTTTTCCTCCTCCACCTCCTTGACTGGAGCTCCATCTTTCAGGTTGCTGTGAAACTCTCCATCATCTCTAGACAGGGCAGTGTGACCTTCAGGTAGATGCCTGAGGCTTTGTAGCCATAGTTTTCCTGGCTGGTTATTCCTGTTCACATTGAGTCATATTTAATGGCACAACCAATACCTAGATGGGGGGTGAAGGGCAAGGCTCAACCCATATCATCTACTCCCAGAGACAAGCCCAGGAAAGAGTCAGAGGAGAAAATAATTTTAATAAAGGACCTGGTTCTCCCTGCTGCAGGGGTTATGATGCTCAGTGGTTCTTTGGGAACATCTGTCACTAGGATGGATCAACACAGGACTAACTCACATTAGGCCAGTTCTTATAATGCCACAATCCTGTATGCCCAGGACTTGTAACAGAGTTACATCAGTAGTGGTGGAGACTGCTTCAGACAGTAAGAGGTTATCTGCTGTCCCAAGCTAATTGGGCTCTTGCCTGAGGGGTAACTGGAAGGGAAGACTTCAAGGGTGAAACTAGTTGTTTTTTTTTTTTAAAAAGCTACTTTTGCAAAAAAAAAGACAAAGGAACTCAAATGTGTAAAGTCACTTTCATTTCAAAGGGGCTGAAACCAACCCAACTTTTGCCTTTTGAATTTTTTGCAAATATTTATTTTTTTGGTAAATTTTTATTGAAAATATCAAGTGATTATAGATTTTGTTTCAGTTTATAAAGCCCTAGATTTTTAGTTAACAACGCAAAACAAAAAATGTTGCTATCTGTTTTGCTAACACTTTTGATCATTTTTTAAAATAAGCCCAACAAAGGCACCACATTGCAAATTACAAATGCGGAGAATGTCAACACATTTTCATGGAAAATTTCCATTTAAAAAGGGTGTTCTTCAGCATAAAAGCTGTTTGTCATTCTGGCCAATCTTTGTCAGGGAGATGCTGGAAAGATGCACTGATAATTTCCTGTCTCGAGTCAATACTGAGTCAGTGTCTCGGGGTGATTTGAGGCACATTGTGCTTTCAGGTAAGATGTAGGGAGTTCACAGAAGGTACAAATAGATGCTTAGATAACAGCTCCCTGAGTTGAAGGACTAAGAGCTGGAGGCAGGCAGACAGTCAAATTCAGACCCTTCTTACTTCTTCATGGTAGTTGCTTTTCTTGCCATATACCTTACTCAGCTTTGTTCAGAGTCTTGTTCAGAAGTCACAACTAATGGACACAGGTTCCACAACACCAAATGGGTATGAGCGTAAGGGACTCTAAGGGCTTGTCTACACCATGGTGACAGCTGGTCCTGGTGAGGATGAGGATGAGCAGGACTCACCTACTCGCACCTGCAGGCACACTCCAAACCTGGAAACATGTCAGTGAACAGTGCAGGCTCCTTTCTCTATACCCACTCTCAAGCCCCCAATTTCTGATAGGTCTGCAAATGCTTGAGGACAAACCCAGAGAAACCTCCAGCTCTGGAGCGTGCCTGTGGACCCGGGCAGAGCCTGGGTGGGATATGCTGGCCTTGCCCTCACTGGATATACTGCTAAGAGCAGTGCCGAGCTAGGATACCTTTGTGAAATGAGTCAAAGAGCCCCTGAATTATGCTCCAATTTCAATCCCCTGCATTTCTGACCTTGGAGTAGGTAGCTCCGTTGATAACTTCTCCCTTCCGCATCCAGATGATGGAGGCTGCTGGCTTGGCATTGTCTGCATGGCAGGTCAGGTTCAAGGGATCACCTGCTCTCATGCTAATGACCGGTCCCCCAATGATAACTGGGTCATCTGGTGGAACTGCGAAGAAAGCACACGAGGAGAGGATGTGGTTTACAAGCTAAAGCGGAGATGCCCAATGCTGTCAAGTTCTATGCCTCTAACTGGTATTTAGCTGGGTGCATGTAAAGAAACTAGTAACCACAGGCCAAACTGTGCTGTCAGGCATATCCATGCAACTCCCAATGTAGTTACAGTGGACCTGTGGCTGATAGCAGAATATGGCCCAACTTAATACACTACTACTTGATTTTCTGTTGTTGCTTACATATAAGCCGTGTCCCAGAGTCAAATCAAACATGGCAGCAGAGCCTGGTGAATATACAAGAAGTTTAGAGAGAGGAGATAAGGGATAGTTTTTCAGTTGAGCTCTAAAATGAGATGAAAAGTTGATTGTACAGGGAAGTGTGTGCAGTAGAGAAGAAATCTCTCCTCAGAGGAGCCAGAGGGAAAGGGGCTGGAATGGATCAATGCATTGAGGGTAGTCAGAGATTAAACAAAAGAAAATGGGGCCTAATCTGAGAGGTCGCTCGGGCAAATCCACAACACTGTGTTGCCATGTACAAAGCACAGCATATACTTTTTCAGAGTGAAAGGAGTTTTCTGTGCGGTTATGGGGAGAACAGCGGGTGTTGCTCCTCTGTAACAGTCTGCAGCAAAGATGAGAACAACAGCAGTCGCAGAACTGGGCATGTAGGGGCAATCCTTAGACAGCAGAAGTAGGGCACATGGAAATCCCACTCCCGAAACTGCACACTCCACTGCAGATGGACGGCAATGCAGGAAGGGTGTTTTAATACCATGCACTAGACTGGAGGAGAGGAGAAACTGGAAAGATTGGTGGGTGGAGATTCAATATGGGGTTGGCTTCACTCACCTGTAAAGGCCTGATTATGTCCCAGCTTGCAAGGGATTTGTCCCTGAGTTGGGGGATGCTCTGAGGAGCTGTGGCTTAGTGAGTCTGTTCTGCAGGGGCGACTCATATCTATTTTAATATGTCAGTGAGTTTGGCACTGGAAGCCCGAGGGCTCCACCATCCACCAGAGAGAGGGGCACATGTGTTGTCGAAGCACTGCTGGGAAATGATTCAAATTGAAATGAAGAGGTTCATCCACCTGCAATTTGTGACCATGGTTTGTGGGGTCAAAATAAGGGGAGGGGATATTCCTGCCTGGCATTTATTTGCTGGTTCCCAGGGAGCTCAGATGGCTAAGGAGGCAGTAAATATTGGTGGAGAATTTTGTGTTGAAACCTTTATTACAACCATGGCTGAAATGGCTCAGAACATTAGACCCAACCACAGCACGTTTCCCCCATTCATTTATTTATAATGTTGCTGACTGGGCTCACCTACCAAAATACACATGTCGAATTTTATTGAGGGCCCCAGGGGCAGAACTGTCAGGCAATCTACTGTTCTCCATTCAAGAGCGATATGAGCAAAGCAAAGCGAGGTGCTCAGTCTAATAGAACAGACAACAGCAGTGAGCCGGCACAATTTCAGTCCATTTTACACAGTGACAAGGAGAGATGGCTTGGTATAAGCAGACTACGGGGCAAATTCATCCCTAGCAGAAAAGTGACTGAATTCAGTGGAACTACACCAGAAACTAATTTGGCCCAGGGTTTCTGGCTGATTCAGTGGGAAAAGGCACAACATTCTCCGTAATGCGAATCCAGGTGGTCAAATGGAAATCAATAGAACTACACCGATTTACACCAGTTGGAGTTGCTGGTACCAGCTGTCTCAGACTGGAGGCCTCATTGCCAGCTTCCCAGAGTGATTTTCCTCATGACACAAAATTAAGATGCAATCTAACCCTCTGTTCCTGTGGGCATTTGACACAACATCATGCTGTCTGAGCTGGATTGGGATTTGGAACAGTGTGTGTGCGCGTGCGTGTGGGGGGGTGGGGGGGTGTGTGTGTGCAAAGTCATGTCTCTGGATTCAAATTTCAAACCCACCCCAGTGTAGGAGTGCTAGAACAGGGGAAGGGCCTAGTTACAGAAAAAAGACACGCTCAACATACAGGACCTCAATTGTATGAGAGCACCAATACTGGCTCATGATTTTTTCCTCACAGTTCCCCTGTGAAGAACCAACTGAGAAATGGTATTTTACCCACATTTAAGAGGTGGCAGAAACTCAAAGTGATTTGAATAAGGTCATACAGGCAGCTTGCTGCAGAGCAGGCCCTTGAATGAATAATGTTCTCTAGCTTTAGGCGGGCATCCTGAGTGCTGGGCCACAACTGATGTGCAGGCTGGTGTGTGTACATGTAAAGTAATTTGCTCACCCCGAACCAGAACCGTGACAAAAAAAGCCTCCATGCAGATCCCACACTGGAGGCACGTGACGTGTCAATCCCATGGACGAGCGCACTGCCTTTGGGCACCTTAGCTTCTGTGCCACCATGAAGGTTTCTACCCATATGCAGGGAGTTTCTAAGCAATGGTGGTAGTTCATAGCGCAGGTTTGAAAAAATCCTAATTCGTACTAGCAAATGAAGCCGTGGACCCAAAACAGACTTAGTCATGAGGAAGGAAATGTTTTTTTTTTTTGGTTCCACTGCTGCTTTCATATATCAAAGGTACTGTACTTCCTCCCTCTCATTACACATAGGGTCCTACTCATCTGGATGGAGACTCCCTCATTCTGCATTCATTTGAAGGAAGTTTTTCTAGTATCTCCCTCTCTGAAGAGGGATTTTGCTTTGGGTGTCGGAGAGATGCCTAAGATCTCAGCCTTCCTTTGAATGCTACATCAGCCAAGCTGTCTTAGTCTGACAGCCTACTACAAGCGGGTGTCCCTCATTACTGGCTGCAGCCTAGCTCAGTTTTTCACAGACCTGCAATTCTTCCATTTGTAGGCCCATGAATTGTTTTTCAGCAAAGCTTCAGAGTGAAAGAAATGGGGCAGAGGCAGGTTGTGGGTGACGACTTGTGCAGCTCACAGTCAGGTTTCTTGGGACTCAGGGGAGGAAGGCTGCATCTCCAAACAGTATCAACATAGTTGATGCTAACTATAACTTGCAGCCTAAAAGCCAAGGACTCAAGGGGATCCGGAGTCTTAACAGCCCTTTCATCCCATGGAGGGATGCCTTACAGCTCATAGGAAGGCATCATGACTGTGGCTGCTCTGTCTTGTACTTGGCTTGGGGTTTATCCAGAGGCTCTTGGTCTCCACAGCTGCTAGTCCAGCACCTTTCCCCAGCACCAAAGCTGGCTACTGAAAAGGTGAGGCATGCTCCAGAGAGAAGTGAATCCCACCTTACCACAAATAGACATTTCAGACTGAATGTGCCTCTCAGAGTCAGCTTGCACAGTCCTTATGACAGACAGATGAGGTGGGAGATGGTGTAGACAGACACTGCCCCCCCCC